CTGGAGCTGGGGTGGGCGGGGCAGCCGTGAGGGGGCTGGGACAGCAGGGTGGAGGTCGGGAGGCTTGTGGCAGAGCCCCCCATGCAGCATGGGGCAGTGGAGGGCAGCACCCAATGAGCTGGGGCTTTTTTTTTCAAAGTGCCAAGAGCTGGGGCAGGTGGGGCAGCCATTGCCAAGTCTGGGAGAGTGGGCAGGGGATGGGACAGTGATTTGAATCACCAAATCGAATCACTGTCCCCTGAATTGGCTGTATCTGAATCCAAAGCGAATGCTAGCTGCTTCGCACAGGCCTAGTAACTCAGGTCCCAGACTTGCCAACACATACTGCAAGAATATGCCACTGACTATGCATAGTAGCATGTTTTATTAAAAGATATCTAAATAATTTAAATAGAGAAGCTTCTATACCAATACATTTTTTTTATTAAAGCATTTGCATATTCTGTAGAGGAGATTTGAAAAAAGAAAAGAAAAAAATGCACATAGTATAACTTCTTATGTAACACACACAGCAATTAAATTCATAAATATTTACTCTTACTACAGCAAAAGCTTTGTTATCTGGCACCCATGGGGAATGTGGGGTGACAGATAACAAAATATGCTGGTTAATTGAGAGGCCCGAACAGGTGTCTTTGCCTGTTTGGGCCGCTGCTTCTCCCGCCACATCTGGGGCGTCGCTGACCCCCCGACCCCCCCCGCAGCATTGCCAATCCTCCCCTGGGCCCTGTGGGCCCTGAGAGATGGGGAGGTGGGCCCCATGCAGCCTGCTATGCCCCGGGCCATGGGGGCTCAGAAATGCAGGCTGTTTTGCCCCAGGCCATGGGGGCTCAGCGAAACCAGAAGTACCACAGTGGGCACTTCTGGTTTCACTTTACCTTAGAAGCTGCCATGCCGGTTTGTAAGGTGCCGGTTAATGGAGCTTTTACTGTAAATGAAAGACCATCCAGAGCTAGTTGAGAGAAGAGTGAATCTGGAATGAACAGGTATATGAAGAGAAAACAAACTTTCTCTGAATGTTTAGCTGTACAAATTAAAACTGACCTCAGGCACCTTTATGTCATACATCTAACACCTACTTACAACAATTAAGCAAAACAATTTCCTTACCTAACAATATTCAATATTTCTTCTATGTTTAAGCTTACGTGTGCTGAACAAATAGCAGCTGGTTAATTTGACATGAGACTCAGACTGACACCATGATATTATTTTGCAATATCATGTTGCTTGAAAATAGTTTTGAACATCATGGACTGCTTTTGTGTACACGACACAAATGCACACGTCTTTCCATAAACTAGCAATGGATACATCCATACTGGGAAACAAGTTTTTCCGGTCCTGTTCAATGCAAGTCTCAAGGAATTTAGTTATATAGTTCAGCTATAGAAGGATCAAGCCCTACAATTTTTAGTAAATACAAATATACAATATTTAGTGCCAGATTCATAACCCCTGCTGCCACTTACATAAATAGAATATTCACTTCAACCTACCTATGGAAGGAAAGAATTCAAAAATGGCCCTTACTGGAAACTCAAGGCACTAATTATCACAATAATTATAATTAAGTACTCATAAAGTTTAGTTTTGCTCAGATTGACTCAGTTTCTTCTTGCAAGTCTTTAAGATGAAAACTGAAAACTTATTTCCCTTAAACAGTAATATGGTTGTCCTTATCTTTTTGCATTTTTCTTTTCTTATTAATTGAATGAGTAGTTGAAAGAAAAACACATATTTATGATCAGAAAATGATAAAATGCCACAATAAGCAGTGACATTCGTTCTTCTGTAGTATCCATGTCCTTTTTTCTGCACATTTTTAACATTAACTACTATACTAAATGATCAAAATGCTTTTACTAAATGAATGCAAAGTTTCAAAAGTGACTGCAAAGTGGAACCAGGGTCAGTATCATATTATCTATAGGAAAACATGATTACACAGAGGTAAGGCATTTTATGAAAAAAACCTTCACACTTTTGTTCTACTGCTTTAAAATAAAGCAATCGTACATCCAAAAGTCTGGCTTGAGCTATTTAACCTTGCACTTCTTTTAGCATGGTAATAGAGTTGTTGATGATTCTAGCTAGGAAACATTCACAGCTGCTTATCTTTCCAATCATTTCTCTATACCCATCAAAGGTTCCGAAAACTACCGGCAAAATAATGGGGAAGTTGTAGAAAAAAGGTAACATTCATCTATCTGAAAGTAGTTCACTTGTCTATATGTCTGTGTTTTAGGTATCACCCAAAATGACAGACAGACAAGCACAGAGGATAAGCAGATTGTCTTGTATTATACTTTTTTTGTCATTTTATTTGTAATTTCAGTGACAGGATCAAATTAGAAAAAATAAAGACAGAAAAATAGCAAAGGAAAATAGAAATTAGTGTTTATTGAGCATTTCTTCTGCTCCACTGCCTGCACTTCTGGAACAGGCAACTGTGACAGGGAAAGATCTGAGTGCACCTTTAATGACATGAATTCAGACAATTTCTGGTATTGTTGCTTCTCTGTGCCAAATGGCTACTGATCTTTGTCAATCATAGTGCTTTAATATACCAAGATCTGTGGCTATGGAAACAATGGTATCACAACAGGCTCTTAGAAGTTCCCTTGTGGTCTTTTATCCACTTAGAAAAAAATCCTGTCTATGCTATTATTTGTATCAGGCCCCTACATTACATGTATGCCACCATTAATAGAGAATGAACCACAAAAATGTTCTACATATAATGTAGAATATATTTACGACTCATTTTTATGGTGCCATAAAATTAATGTGTGGCTGGTGGTTGACAGTTAGCCGACTACTGCCATGGCCATGATTGCCACCATGGCCATGATTGCTGGATAGGGTGAAGGACATTTTTATGATTAATCACAAATTTCAACCTTGACAATTTTTGCTGGCAAAACTAGATAAAATCTATTAATCAAATTTCTACTTTCCAAAGCGTATAACAAAGATTAACCAACTTTTCAAAATCAAAGATTTAACATTTTTGTAGAGAAAATAAGCTTTATTTTTTGGCAGTAACAAAGCAATGCACTTGGTATGCATTGCGCTATTTTTCACTTTAAAAATCGATCAAATGTTGGACATGTTTAGTTGCCTCAATGATCACATAATATAAAATTTTGAATTGTCTATTCAGAATGAAAAAAACATTTTCCTTGTATATCTATTGTTTTTTCATTCATCCTAAAGTCCTAACTTCACCTCAGGTATAACCTCATTGTACAAGGTGAGATTATACCAGGAATGAATTTAAATAATTGAATACAAAAATGTAAGAAATTGAGAGAGAAAATCATGTAACTATCTAGTGTACTTTTTAATGTTGCTGAGCAAACTAAAAATTTGATTTTCTTTTCTTTCCTTTTTCTTATTTTACAGGAGACTATACTTGGCAAAATTGCTGCTAAAATTTTTTAAACAAAACAAAAATAACATTGTAGTAATGGTAAGGCTATGGTGTATTTAGCTAATCTTCTCAATTTGTGTAAATGAACAAATTCACCATTTTTGCAAGAATAGAAAATGATAATCTTTATAGGTGTTTTCTGCTGTTTTTATCCATCCTTTTTATATTAAATCTCTTTTTTTCATTTTCAATTTTTTTAATAGAGGCTCAAGGAACTGAAACACAGGGAGTTTGCTCGAAATGTAGCTTCTAAGTCAAGAAAAGATGAAAGGAAGCAGGAAAAGGCCCTTCAACGTTTGCACAAATTAGCTGAACTAAGGAAAGAGACATCTTGGTAAGTGGATAGTTACTGAAATGTAAAACACACTAGTATTTAATTCTCAGACTCTTGGGGTTGTGGGACATGGCATTATTAAGACCCTCATCCAGAATAAGCTGCACATGTTTTTATAGTATTCTTGAAGACTTATGCCTACTGTAATTTGATTTGGCACTATATGGGGAAATAAATGTTTAACGTTACATTTTCAGTGAAGCTAAAATGACACGTATTTTTAGTTTTTAAAAAAATGTTCCATACATATTTCATGGAACTAGGCACAGTTGTTGAAAGCATTAGTGATCTAGGTCATACATTTGAAGCCTGGCACTACTTCATTGATGAAGAGAGAAATACATTCTATTTTTCCTAGATGTAACAGATCTGTGTGATTTAGTGTTCAAACTGGTTACCTGGGAATGCATCCCAAAATCTAGTTTTAGATTTAAATAACTGGAGAACCTATATTAAAATATAAGGGTTTTTTTCCACTTTTCCCTAGCCTAGTAGAGTACACAAGAGTCACTTGGTACCTGAGGTCCATTCTTACTGAATTTGGAAATACATTCTTAATTGATATTAACAGATCTTAGCTTGCTGGAGTTTACAGCATGTGTAATAAAAAAATGAAATACTTCTGATGCTGAGGGTCTAGTGAAAGTGATTTTGAACCAATTTCAGTTTATGTAATGTAGTCACGAGAAGAAAAAAGCTGGTGATTGCCGTGTAAACAGAATGTTTATTCAGACTTTGTTTCCAGGTGCATTTCACTACATAAACTGCCACATATCACAGTTGACCATATATTCTGTAGTTTCTGTGGAGAGCTGGCAATCTTTGTAACTTGGATGTTGTGCAACATACCAAAACAAAGTTCTCCTCTAGAAGGGGGGATGACATGGATGTGGGTAGGGTGCACGTGGAATGAACAACACAGAATCTGATTTTTAATTTCTTTGGTGACAATACCTTTTTGAGATGTGTTGAGTGCGGTTCCACTTTTTTCATCAGGTTCATTTGGAACCTTTAGATAACAAATAAATAATGTTATCTCACTGTTAGTGTTCATAGAATAGATAACATTAAATACTTTAATGGTATACTATGGAGATAATGAAAGGCAGTGGCAAATTTGGAACTGCTAGCTGGGCTCCAGGGGTGCTTTGTACATGTAAAGAAGGTTATCAATACTTAAGAAAACACAGTGCAGTAGTGCTTCGTTTCAGCAGAGAAAAAACAGACATGTTCATTACAGTGCGGTTATACTCTAAAAAGTAACACTGTGGGGTTCTATATTCATTCTTTCTCAATGACTTGCATTTTGATTAACTTACAGATAAAAATTCAAAATTACTGGACTGTAAAGTAAATGTGCAATTTGAACATCTATCAACAGTCTTCATTTCTTGCTCTACATTTTATAGCCAACAGTATTAATTCTGCAAGCAGAAATTAGCTGGCCATTTTTATTATTCCTGAAGTCATCTTTCTTGCTCATTTTGAGTTGACTATTCTGTAGCACATACCTTTTCTGTTCACTAAATTCATAAATGTGTGAGAGCTAAGATATGTGGGACCAAATTTGCATTGAACCTCAATTATCCACACAAAATATGGTTTTGTATTTATTTTGTGACACTAAACTGCTAGCAAACTTGACACTAGAATATTTAAAATTCATTTACTTGTTTGATGACAACATTAGGGATTTTTAATGAAAATCTGCAAGAAAAGGAGCAGGTTATTGAATGAAGTGATGATATTTTTGCAGACTTTAACAACTGAGTATTGTGGAATATTAGAAATAAAGAGACAGAACTCAAATTAAAAATTAACTTTTATTACTTAAAGCATGTTTTATTGCTCTGCATATTCTGATAATGCTTTATTTATCTGAAAATAGTATCATAAAAACACAAAAAACTGCATTTGCAAGTAAATTAGAACTTCATTAAATTTAATTGATAGAATATAATGTATATTGTAGGACTATAGGACTATGAGAATAAACAATCAGATCTTGATTAAGAAATGTTCTTAGAGTGCAATAGAGATAAAAAAAACATTTTACTGGGACTTTCTAGGTTGGACCCAGGCTTGCCAATCCAAGAAAAAAAGTATATTACAAATCAACAAACTTTTTACTGTCAACCAATCTGTTTTATTAATATATGATTTTACTGGCATATGTTTTATATAATGTAAATGTAACTTGTAGCTCTAGACAGCAATAGCAAAGGCTGGATTCAATTTTGATACAGTCTTACTTGACTGCAGCAATGCTATCCCCCACTCCTGGGATCTTCTATTCACCCCCACATCCTGATAGGCCCAACCACATAATGCAATGTGCCAACCTCACCCCAGACCACCCCCAAGCTTACCCTGCCAGTTCCATTTGCCCTACCACCCTGGCATGGGAACCCCACCCATCTCCTCTCCCCCTTCCCAAGCCCACAGCTCCATCATGGCTACACCACCCCTCCCTGTCCTCCCCTGTTCTTCAGTTGGCTTGGAGACACATAACCCTGCCTACCTTCAAGGCAAGCCACAATTACAAGCAGGCAATGGGATGTAGTGGCAGGAAATACAGAATTTCTCATGATCAGGAACCTGGGTTTTCTCTGTTCAAAAATCCCAAATTCTCTGAAAAAAAAAATCCAAAATTCTTTGATTAAAATCTCCTAAATCCATGTTCTTCCTCTTGAGTCTATCGACATCCTTCAAGAAGGATGTCGATAGACTCAAGAGGGTCCAGTGGAGGGCCACCCGTAAGGTTAGGGGCTTACAGGGCAAGCCCTATGAGGAGAGACTGAGGGACCTGGACTTCTTCAGCCTCTGCAAGAGAAGGCTGAGAGATGATCTTGTGGCCACCTACAAATTCATTAGGGGGATGCAGCAAGGGATCGGAGAGGCTCTGTTCACTAGGATGCCTCTTGGGGTAAAAAGAAACAATGGTTACAAACTGACAGAAAACAGATTTAGGCTAGATATCAGGGAAAACTTCTTCACAGTAAGGGTGGCCAGAATTTGCAATGGGCTTCCAAGGAAGGTGATGCTCTCTGCTACCTTGGGAGTCTTTAAGAGAAGGCTGGATAGGCAACTGGCTGGGGTCATCTGACCCCAGTACTCTTTCCTGCCTAGGCAGGGAGTCAGATTTAATGATTTGTTGAGGTCCCTTCTGACCCTAGCATCTATGAATCTACAATTTTAAAACAATTTGGAAGCTTACCAGTGCCTCAATTATAATTATAAAATTAATTCTAAATATCTATATAGTTTGGCATTTAATTTTGTTTTTTTAACATGGAAAATCTAAGCTTCCCCTGCCCCCTTTGCTCACCAGGATATGGGTCCAATTTCAGCTGTCCCCATGCTACTTTGTGGTGCTAAGCAGCCCTAATATACCAGTTCCTTCCCCCTGCTCATGCTGTTGCCGTTCACTCCCAAGCCACAACCCCCCTCCCTCCCAGCCTAGCCAGTGCCCTTCACTCTAAACCCACAGTCTCCTGGCCCTGCCAATGCCCCTCACTCCCAACACACAGCCCCTCAGTCCTACTGGTACCCCTCACTCTCAACCCACTGGCTACCACCCCCAGACCCCAGCCTTCCACACTGGAAGCCTGAGGGGAGGGGGCAGTGGGTCCAGAGTCAGGGCCAGGGCCAGGGGGCTGGGAGTGAGGGGCAATGACATGAGGATCCCTGCTCATGACAACCCAGATTCCTGCTCATGAAGAACCCTTTTCTAGTGAGTTTTCTATATTAAGTTCTATCCCAACTAAGCTAAACTTGGTAAAACATCCACATAGTTACAGGGGTGTTGGTTGTAGCTGTGTTGGTCTAAGGACATAGGCAAACAAAGTATTTTGGGTAAATCTGATATCTTTTATTAGAGTAACTAAAATAGTTGTAAAAAATCTTCTTTGCAAGCTTTCAGGTACAAACATCCTTCTTCAGGCAGAGGGAGTGTCACATAGTCACATGTACTAAACGTTATGAGTATTCAGATTCATCCATCATTGCTTTAAAAATGTAATTTTGATTTTCCAGTTAAAAAAGAAGTGTTGTATTTCATTGTGACTAAAAGTTGGTATTGGCTGAGTTTCAAAAATAAAATGACCTATTGTACTGCAAAAATGCTCAGACTGTTGTGTATAGAGTACTTGTGCTCCGTAGACCAGTTATTTGTAGTTTGCAGAAATTTTGTTTTTCATGTGTTTTTATCTATTTTTGCTTCCTATTGAATGAAACATGAAAGCCTGTAGGAGGACATGTAATGACTGTTAAAATAAGACTGTCATAGACTTTAAAAAAAAATTCAAGGATGAATGCTGAGAGCATAAATACTTTCAGGAACTATTTTTCCATGTAAGAATTTGCAGAGATTGCCATAACTGTATTTATAATCACAAAAAAGAAGGTAATCAATACAGCGATCATATGAAGATGGGGAGCTAATATCTGAGGTTGTGAATGAGGTGAAGGTCAGCTAAGAGACTTTCTTAGTTGAAATATATTTTGCAATATGAAAAAGTTCATTCATGTTTTGAAGCTATGACTTTTTGTAGCAAACAATTTGTCAGGTAACCTGTTTCTGTAGAAACCTTGATGGATACAAATATAAAAATCACATTCCTATGTAATTGTACAGTGGGAATGCAGTAACTGTCAACATTTAACTTCTCTGAAGTGTACTTATGGAAGGTTGTGTTTTGTTTTTTCAGTGCTCCTGGGAGTGGCCCCATGTTCAAGTCCACTACCGTTACAGTGAGAGATAATTGTAATGAAATCTCACAAAATGTTGTCATAGACTCTTCTAACAAACAACAAGATTTCAATTCCACATTAATGCACAAGGCACAGAATACTAAAGATATTGCTTCTCTTGCTTCTTCCACTTCTGAAAGTACAAGCAGTAATAAATCTGACACTAACAAACTTGGGAATCAAATACATGGAGCTCAAGGACACAAAGTTGGATTCTCTTTTGCTTTTCCAAAGAAAGCTTCTGTCAAACTGGAGTCCTCAGCAGCTGTTTTCTATGAGTATAATGATGAAACAACTTTTGAACATGGAGTTAGCAGAAGAAGTAGATTTGTTCCAGGTTCCTGTAATCTTCAGTCTCCATCCACAACAGAAATGGTTCTGTGCTCTGAGGAGAAACATAATGATATTCACTCACTAATGGAAAAATGTACTGACACAGCAGAAGCTGCAGAATTTCAGGAACCAAAAGAACTAGCCAGTAATGAAAACACAATACTCGAGAATACAGAAATGCTGCCTGCTTTTTCTCATTTGGAACAACCTATGTATTCTGTTTTGAATGGCTACTGCACTGACATAAATTCAACAGCATTCCCAGATACAACTCCACCCACAGCTACCATCTATAATCAAGAACTACCCATAGAATGTAACACTTCTGAACTACTGGGAAACAAATCCACAGCTTTTGCTGTCACAGAGGATAATTTGTCTTTGCATGATATCACTGAGGAAAATAAGGAAGGTATTAATAGTAATTCCTCCAAGGCTGAAAATGAAATTAAAAAACTTGGATCCAATGTACTAATTTCATCAAATTATGAAGGGAGCAATGCAGCCTTGCAAAATAAATCAGATTCATATAAAAGATCTTGTGAACCATTTGTTCCGGTCCTTAGTAAACATGGATCTACTATTCTTCAGTGGCCATCTGAAATGTTAATTTACACCAATACAGAACCATCAGTTTCCTACAGTTGCAATCCTTTATATTTTGACTTCAAGTCATCAAAATCAACTAACAGTCTAGAGAAGAGTAAACATGAGTTAAATGTACCTCACTCTCACCACAAGACTGAGTCTGACCGGAGTCTAGTTTGGGATTATGCTGATAAATCTATTTCAGAGTTAGCTGACTGTGAAACAGACATGTGTAAAAATGTGTGCAATCATGCATCATCAATTAAAACTGATGGTGTTTTAACTAAAAGCTGTGATTCTGAAAAACAAGTTAAATTGTGCTTAGACAACTCTTTCAGAATTGGAGAAACAGAAAAGTACCACATTTCAAGAAGAAATTCACGACAGGATACTGTGATAGATGAGGGACAGAATAAAGGATGGATCAAAGAAACTTGTGAAAAATGGTTTCGCAAAAACAGGAAAAGAAAAGGGAGGAGAAAACTGTGTCATCATCATCATGGGAAAACTGGAAAGGCAGGAGGTGAAATTTCTTTAACAGCTGGACAGGAAATTAATTATCTTAATGAAAATAAACTTCAGCCTCTTCAAAATGCTCCAAACATGTGCAAGTCTGAAATTAGCAGCATGTGGTTAGCTTCAGAGGAAATGCAACAGTCATGTCAAAAACCTGGCATTGAAAACAGTGATCATAAAAGAGTTATGTTCACAGCAGCACACATACATGAGCATAGGGGCACATGTGCTATTTGGAACACAACAAATAGCAATGACCACTGCACGAATTTTAAACCTCTCCACAGAAAATACAAAGCAAGCTCTCACAAATGCTCAAAAAAATTAACTTTGAATTCCAGAAGACATAACTTAATGTACTCTAGAACATTTTGTGGTTGGAGAGTCAAAAGGTCTACATGTAGTCCAGATCATAAATGTCTGGGCCAATATAATAAGGAAAAATGTACAAGTCAAAGCCAGTCTATAAAGAGAGCTTATAACTTTCTGACTGATGAACCTGAACGATCCCATAGAAAACGAAGACAACATACATATTCTTGTTCATCAGATGAAAGTTCATATAAACAGACATTTTTATCACAAGAATGTTTAAATCAAATGAGTAATCTAACTGTACCATGTAAACCTAAAGGGAAACGGAGAAGGAAAAAAAATAGAATTCATCATGCGTTTGTTGACAGGGAACTAAAAAGAAATGAAAATTATAGGCCTTTGAAAGACAGTTCTACAGTAAATATTTTGGGGGAATTGTTAATTCAAGATAATACAGAACAAACAAAATCTCAGCCCATTATGGATTATGCAAAAGATAAGGACCAAATAATGCAGTTGGGAGAAAACAAGTTGCCTCTACAAGCTGATAGTTTGCATTCAGTAGAAAAAGACAAATCAACAGAGTGTTTGCGGATGGAGAGCACTCCAAATGCATTTTTGGAGGATGCCACACATTCTGCTTCTTCTGTTTCTGACCATAGTGTTCAAACAACTGCAACACCAGAAAACAAGCTGGAAGAAGAAAAGAAACATGAAAATATAACTGTTCATGAAACTCAAGTTCCATATAAAGTGCCCAATATTGACAGAAATTTGGAACAAACTCCTCCTAAATCTTATCTATGCCACTATGAAGTAGCTGAGACTGTACCACAAGAGAAAATAAATGAAACAACCAGTGAATGGTTACGGTACAATTCAGGCATTTTTAACAGCCCACCACCTTTGCCATTCAAAGAAGCACACATAAACAGTCATACCTTTTTAGCCACTGAACAGATACTTACCCCATTCACATTACCTGATCAGACATTGATATTTCCCCAAGAAAACCATGAGAAATTTAAAGATCTGCAATGTGAGGCCTATCAGCAGATCATGCAGCAAAACATGCTGGCTAACAAGATGAAATTTACCTTTCCTTCCCCTGCAATTCAACCTTCTAACTCTCCTCTGCAGCCATTACCCTTGCAGCAGCCACTGTGTTCTACCTCTGTAACCACAATCCATCATACTGTTTTACAGCAGCATGCTGCTGCTGCTGCCGCAGCTGCAAATACCTTTAAAGTTCTTCAACCTCACCAACAGTTCCTGTCACAAGTCCCAGCTCTTTCAAGAACACCTGTACCTCATCTATCAGTTGGACCTCGACTTTGTCCAGGAGGCCACACAACTTTTATTGCTCCCCCACATTTGCCACTAATTCCAACTTCAGTTCTTCATCCGAGTCACCTGGCTTTTCCTCCTTTGCCCCATGCTCTTTTCCCCTCATTGCTGTCCCCACATCCAGCTGTCATTCCATTACAGCCCCTCTTCTAGGCTTGACTTTCTAAAATACAAATGGGAAGAAGAACTCCAAGTAAACATATTGCTCTATCTAAAGCGCTCCGAGGTTTGACATTCTGCAAATGATTGAGATTGGTTAAAATGCCTCATTAATTTGGAATCATTTACTGTAAGTGTAATGATGCAAGTACTTTATGTAAATTTCTGATCTATAATATAATTAAAGCACTGAATAGTCTGACACTAATATGAACTATATATATATGTGAAATTATGTCTTAGAATATAATGTACATAACATATATTTATAGTACTGTAATTTATGTTGTAAAGTATGCTCCTTTTTTTTAATCTTTGTGTACTTGCACCTATTTACTGTTTAGACAAAGCTAATGCACTATGTTTTGTACTATGTTCCTTGAAACTGTAAATCTAGTGACAAACTATCTCTTGCAATAAATTTTTGTTAACTATTTAAGTATATAAAAAATCATTCATTGTAAGCCTCACAGATGTTATTCTTCACCCTCTGAATAATGTACCCAACTCTGCTATATTTGGATCAAGTTTTCTATCATTCTGTGATTTATTACCAAGGCTCAGAGGTTAATACCTTAAGGGCAAGTATCTTACTGAGCAAGGCAAAAAGGGTAATAGATCTGTTTGTGTTAGCAGTTCGATGTCACTGAGACAAATTTTGCTTACAAGCAGTATGTGACCAAACTACCATCTGTTTGAACCACTTTATTTGTATTATTTATTTAACAACAAAACATGTACCTAAAATACCACAAGACATGTAACTAAAGTAACATAAATGACAGATAAAAACAATAAAAGCAGAATATCAAAGTACATCATCTAAGAATATCAGTGCTTGAATATTAAAAAATGGACAGAGCCAGATTACCATCAAGCACCCAGTTGTTCTCTATTTCCAAGAGGCTATTTTGTACATACATCTTTGTAGGAGATTACACCCAGAAAAATATTTTAAATCTGTAAGACTACAGGCATAATGGCATACAGACATAGTGAATAGTCATTGATGTAACTGAAAATCTAGGGCTAGGGACAGAAATTAAACATAAACTGGTATAAGTGACCAGAAACTCTTTCAAGTCTGTAATACAACAGAAGTTCAGTGTACATAAACTGCTTTCAAAATGGCCCAAACTGGTCTAAGATAAACTTGGATGGATGTAAATCAGACTTAACTGATTTAGGTTAAATTGGTTTATTGAACTTCTGCCCCAGACCCCTTCATTATTCAAATTAACTCACAGTACCTCAGCATCCTTGGATGTTTTGCACTTCTGCTGTGATCCCCTCCACTCCACACTCCCCTTGCAGGGTGGGCAAGCTAGTCTTGTCCCAAGCTGTGTGTTCTAGCACCACCTCCTGTTTCTGGCCTGGGCCACTTCAGGCATGTGGCTGCATTTCCAGAATCAAAAGTGAAAGTCTGTTCACTTGCTTATCAGTTCAGTCTATGCAATTCAATCAAGTCAGCCTCTGGCTTTTTAACTGTCTGTATTTAGCTTAGATGTGCTAGTATGGGTGTTGATAATATACTTTTGATAATATAATTTATTCTATACCTAAGAATGAAGGCTGTTCAGAAAAATGGGTAAATATTTAAAGTGTTCTCTTGATGAATATATAACACAAATTTATTTCAGTGGAAGACAGCTAAGCATATCAGAGGGGAGAAATTTTTGCCACTGGTATAAATTTAGGATGTATTTCAAAATGGCAGTGATATGTAAGAATAATGGGAAGAGTTATCAATCGTGTCAAACCTGACTTGGAATTTCTAATCTTTTATGAGATTGACTCAAATACTTAATATTGCATTAAACTTTTTTTTCTAAATTGTTTTGCGTTTTGGCAGAATGTCATCAAAATTATAATATATAATGATAAATAATGTATACCTTTTTAATGTTCATCATACAATTCCCCTCAACCTACAAACCCCACTTATTTAATTCAATAATTTTCAATAGGGACAATCCAACTTAATTTAAATAAGACAAATTATGTGAGAGAGAACTAGAATTTTGAGGATGATCTACAGTAGAAGTCACATGTTCTCCAGTAATAAAATGCCATGTCTAGCTCTAAAGTTAATGGTGGCTTCCTGTCATCATTTAAAAAGTTATGATAAAATTAAGAATAAATAAAGTTAAAGAAAATATAATTTCTGAAAGTTATAAAAGAACATTGAGTATTTAATATCTATTTTATTAATAAAAACAAGAAAAATCACATCTTAATTTGTTCAGATACTATATAATTGAGGTATTTTATTTTCATCTATAATATTAGAATTTATTGATTAAAAGGCAAGTTTTGTTATACTATTACATGAAAACATACAAGGAAATTGATTGTATTCCATTTCAGTTTTAGAGCTTTGGTGCCTACATATTTATTTTGCATTGTAAAAGGATAAATATATATCAATATACGCAAAGGTGATAACAGAGAGAAAATGAATGATTTTCAAAGGTGCTGAACACACACAGATGTGTTTGTGGAATGGATGCTGCACAGACACACTGCTTTGAAAATGAGGCCAATGATATGGTAGTTTAGGGAGAAGACTCCTTAGTTAATCATTTTTTTGAGGATGCGGTAGTGTAACTATGAGTGAGCAGGCAGGTCACTAGCCCCAGGTACCAGCCTTAGAGAGGGTGTGAGAATGGAGCTGGTGCAATGCTTGGCCTGGCCAGTTCTGCTTCTGAGCTTGTTGCTACTGTAGTCCTTGCCTCTGCCAATCCAGCCCTTGCTGTTGCCGCTACCCAGGACACAGAGTCTCTTCTGTGTAGATGACTACTTTTGCTTACTCTGGTATATTAAAAATTATACTTTTTCACATATTTTGTCAAATTTACTTTTTCTAAATTGAGTTTAAGTTTTGTCTACAATGCATGGGTGTGAAGGACTCAACTAATTCTAAATGAGCCAGCTCAGGTGTTAGAAGTAGCTTAACTGAGGTAGCCAGGAGATCCGTATGTGGTAATTTCAATGTTTCTTAGTTCCTTTTATAGCTAGTATAATATCAGCATTATAGTGTGGAGTGTAAACATGCCCTTAGATCCGGGTACTTCATTCAAGCAACAAGTTGTATCTAACACATTATTTAGAAAGTATTAAGAGCAAAATTAAAATATTATATGATGTCTTAATTAGAAAATCAGAAGATGCTATAGAAAAATAATTAGTGCAACTTCTCAGACTAATGATGTTTATGCTATAGCTGGCTAAACTTTTCCAACTTTCAACTGAAAAAAATCTTCACTGAAAAATATTTTATATTAACATCCAAAAAGTTTTTCCAGTATTCCCCCTACCTTTCTTTTGACATTTTCCTTGGAATTTTACTGAAACAATTTCTATGTTCAGTTTCAGAATTTTAAAATACAGAAAAAAATATTTAGTACTGTATAATTTTTGAAAAGTAACTACTTTTCAATAATCTACAAGCCAGCTATAGTAAAATACCAAAAACCTTTAGGGGTAAAAATTCTTTATAGAGTAACACCTTTAGCACTGGAAGTGTTTTGTATCCACAAGTTAAAAAAACAACATTTTAAGAAACACAAACTGAGTTTAAGATTGAAAATGCTACATCAATTTTTAATATATACATATATATCATTTGCAATTGTGTTTCAATACCAAATAAATAACCTTAATAAGTACGTTATCTAACTGTAGTTCTGCTTTGTCCAATGTTATTCGTATTGTAGATTTCATGTATACTTCTACTTTTTTATATAGTTTCATGTGTAAGTAAAATCTCTGCAATTACTGAATAATTGAAAACATCACTATTATTATATATACAATCTGCCCAATTTGTTAAATCTTAACAATATCTTTAGCATTTCCAAATCTAATCGTTTAATATAGTCATATTCTATTTCATGCTACCATCTGATGAATGATTGCACTATCCCAATATAAATATTTTTGCTGTTACTGTTCCTTTAAATGACTCGAGTATTTGGAATTAAATCTTTAGATTTCAATCTTCAGATAAATCTAAATTAAGTTATAGATTTTGTTAAATGTTTTCCCATTCCCAGAACTGCTATACAGAGAAATGATTGAAAAGTTAATATGTTGTACTGAGATGAGAGAGGGGTTTTTCCCCCACCTGCCCTTGGAAAGCAGCAATCTGTCCAGACCATGACCTTCCTGGAAACATAGCATTTCTCAGGTAATATGATCCAGAAAATAATGTTCTAAATGGGATTTTTCAAGCATTAAGAATCATAATGTTGTTGCATTGTTATGGGCAGGTTAAACTAATTACATGCTTACCTTTTTTGGTCTGTGGATACATGCAACTGTTAAAATGCCTTCAATACATGAAAAAAAAAAACAAATTGTTTGTCTGATTTCCTTTATTGTACATAGCCAGAAATTATCTCATATTTTAGCTGAGCTGAAGAGGAGTAAACCCACATAGAGCTTTTGCAGGAATGAACAAAATGGTGTTTGGATATATTGTTACAGCTAATCTTCATATTATAGAGCCATTATTGAGTGCCTATTGAGCACCTACCAATCCAAACTACAGTCAGAGGTTGTTGTGGGCACTCAGCATCTCCCAAACAGTTGTGTTGTGTATTGGAAGAAAAAAATGTTTGAGAGATGTTTAAAAGATAGATATAGATATCTTTTAAACATCCCTCAAGCATGCTTTTCTTCAAATGAAAACAAATTCCTGAAATAAAAATTACACCAATCCTTTTACTGGAGCTGCCTCCATTTTTTGAAGCCTTTTATTTTATATTTACACTCTGTTTGTTGTTTCTTTCTTCATTCTTAAAGCCTTGATGCAGCAAGTTACTTAAATATGTAAATGTAAAGCTGACTGTAAATATGTAAATAATCAATTTGACTTCAGTGGAAATGGCCTTAATGGCAGGTACATCTTTATGTATAAATAGCATACCTGCAAATCAGCAGCCAGCAAAAGTATCACGTCCATTTCTTTTCCATTTAGTTACCTGATAGAG